ACGAAGAATTGAGGCAGTTCTGAAGGCAAAAGGGGGTCCAACCCGTTACTAGCGTGGTGTACCTAATAAAGTGGCCGGTGAGTGTATGTGTATGTATGTATCCCTATCCAGGTAGATCCATTGGACTGGTGAAAACAAGAAAATAAAGCACCAGCACACACCTCTGTTTCATTAGGTTTTTCATCTGAAGGACTCAAGATGAGTAAACCTGATTCAATGAACGTCCCAACCATGTGAAGACGGTCAGTTTTCAATTAAAAACATGAGATTAGTATTGATTAAGATACTTTCAAAGTTTTTCAACAGTTTGATGTGCAGACACTTGTCTTAAATGAATTGGTTCTGCAGGAAGAATAAAATAAATCAAGTTGTGAAAAGTGACTTGCTGTAAGTTGGTCTTATGCAGCTACAACCATCTATCCTCTGAGAATGATTTATAATAGAGCAGTTAAGATCTTGGACAGAAAGCCCTTCAGATGCTCATCACGGTCATCTTCTTCAAATCCTTACATGAGGAATTTTAAAAAACTGTCAAATTTTCTTATTTTAAACTACTTGTTTTTAAATGCCTAAATGGACAGGCTCCTCAGGTGCTCAGCAAGCTTTTGGTTCTTCTTGTGGGAACTGTAAGGTTTCTTTCTTTTTTTTTTTTTCTTTTTTACTTCCATGGGTCGAACTGATTTCTGACTGAAACCATTTTAGACCAAGACTAAATCATTTCCTGAAGAGGAACCAGTTTTTAAAATCAAGAATAACCACCACCTTTTAATGATATTATTATGATCTGTTTGTTTTATGATTTACAAGTCTTAATATTGTAGCATTTTATTCTTTTCAAACTGTTTTATTTTCATTTTGCTAAAAGCCCACCTAGGGACTGGCATTGCAAATTAGCCTTGGCTATAAATGTTGAAGTGTATGGTATTGTTAATACTTAATACTTGTCCATATTCAAATAAACATGAAATGAAATGTTTAGAGTATTGACTGGTACTTGATTCAGTCTCTGTGTCCATTATATCTAAATAATAATACCAAAAGAATTTCTAATAAGAGTATTGACTGGTAGATGGATGGGGTGACCAGGACTGAGGGAACAGGATTTGGAGGATGAGGTTGATAAATGGCTTTGATAAACTAAAATACTCTGACTGTAACAACAAACCATCTACAGTATATAGAGAAAAAGAAGTTAGCATCTATTTAAAAGGTGTTCAAGATAACAGATGATTCTGGGAGGAGAAAAGATGTGGTTTAAAAGTAACAGAACTGGTTATATATATATA